TGTTCCGAGGCCGCGCGAGCCGCAGCCGCAGCCGCAGAGTGGCACAGCCGTTTGCTCCTCGTCTACAGAGCAAAAGGTTCACTTCTGAACCTTGCACCTCCCCAGCTTCAACTTCATAAGGTAACCTTTAGCCTGGACCTCCAGGTGGCAATCTGTCCTCTGAAACCGCTTGTCGCCACCTCAAGATCCTGCAGCTCAGGCTGTGCGCTCCTCGGACGCCTGTGCGGCCGCTGCTAAAACAGTCCGCGGTGCATCATGCCGGCATTGTGTTTGCAAATGTGCAGGGGTTTCGCGCGCCCCTTATGTCCCCTCGCACCCACCGCATGTTTCAATCGTGCAAGCTTGCTTTGAGGAGCATCGTCCCACCAACAACAGAATCAAGAGAATCTATACGAGCCTTTTCACCCACAGGCTTTGTGTGTACACATGGGGAGGGCTGCCTGGGATGCAGACCCTAGGAAGTGTTGCCTCTAGAGCACGAGACTTCTTTAAGCGCAATTCTCAATCTCGCGGCTCCAGCGTGCGATGATGGTCTGCGAGACAACGCTGCCCCTGCCGGGCCAAGTCGTCATGAGGTTGGGAACGCAAATCATGCGTGTGGTTCTTTTCTGATGCATTGAAATTCCAATTCGATCCAATGCAGCTAGGATGAGAAGCTTTCACCGCGGGATAAGAAGGTCATTGCTGAATGTCAGAACTGGGTGCTATTGTAACTGTTTGTTTGTCCCTGTGTGTGCATGTGTGTGCGTGTCCGGTAAGGTTTGCTTGTACCGGTTTTCGACTCGGACTCCTGGGGCAGCCTCTGCTTCCAGGCGCTTTGAACGAAATTGGGCGTAGTGTCGAGTGTTCGTTAGAGTGCATGGCTACGATGGGGGGGTTTCCGAAAATAGGGGACCCCAGTATAGTACCCTAAATAGTAGGATCCTTAGTATAAGGACCCCAAATAAGGTACCCAAACCGGTGTTTTGGAGTACTCGGCAGTTTGCCAGGACTCTTCTTTTCGCCCTGGACGTCCATCAGCAGGGCACGCTGACCCTCAGGCTCAGCTATGCCGCGCGCACCAGTACTATCGCATCTCGCAGGGCACTGTGGCATCACTGTGGCTTCTGGTACTGGTACTGTATGAATTTGCATTCAATGCAGTCTCGATGCAAGAAACGAGTTGAATTCTCGTCCCAACAGCAGTGGAAGCCATTGGCGTCAACAAGCTCATCACATGTTTGCAACAGCCGGTTGTGGAACGACGACCTCCACGAACCGGGAAACCTGATTGTTGCTATGCCCTGAGCCCCCGTTTTTTCTGCTTTCCGGTCAGGCCATGCTTGCTAGATGAATTGCTCGTGTCGGAGAGGGGTGCACACTGCGACAGGATTCGCAGCATCTTGCCTCCGTCAGCCTCGACTCTCTCTATGCGAGCTGATGTGGGGCTACTTGGCAGCGAAAGCTCCCAGATGAGCTTCAGATCAACTACACTCAAGCCGCAGTAATTTCCACGATGCCGGCCATAGAGCCTGCTTCACAAGCAGGTCATGCCTCGTTGATTTATGTAGTGTTGGAGAACCAAATGCTGCGATGCACATCCCACTCAGCCCTATGGATTTGGTCAGGGCATGCATAGAAACGGGAATATGCGGCTGACGAGTCTTTCACAGCGAAGTGTTTGCTTCCGCCACCTTGCAGCAGGCTTTTTGAAAGCTGAAAGGGGTCGAAGTACCTTCGGGGTGGGATGGCTTGATCGGGAACAAAGGTTGGACTTTCTGCAGCGGTTCGTGATTGCAAACCTGTTCGTTTCGATGCAGGCCGTGAGTCTGTGAAGTCCTGGAACCCACTTTGTTCGGTCACATCGCTGTGAGTACAGGGGTTTCCCAGGCTCGGCAGCCAGTTTCTGTCTGCGACGTGCCTCATATCGGATGCCTGCCCCCGCTGTTGGTATGCTAGTTGGGATGTTGGCCAAGTTCGCCGCATGCCCCTCGAGTCACGAACGGAATAGTCCAGAACAGACCGGAGACTAGTCTAGAACAGAGCCGCGCAGAGTCAGGAACAGGAACGCGCAGAGTCGGAAACAGAAGTCAGCACACACCCTACATTAGAAAGGTATCTTAGACACGCTCCCCAGTTGGTGATTCCGATTCATCGTATATGTTAAACGCCCCCCTGACTTGGCGATTCCGGTATCATCGATCTCAAACACACGCCCCATTCGGCAATTCCGACTCTTCGCGCGTCTTAAACACGCCCCCTCACTTGCCGATTCCGGTATCATCTATCTTCAACACTCCCCTCATTTGGCGATATCGGTTCATCGTACATATCTGGAAACACGCCCCCTCGCTTGGCGATTCCGG